AACGTGGGCGCGTTGTCGTTCACGTCGGCCACCTCCACGGATACGCTGGCTGAGGCCGACAGGGCAGGGGAGCCCCTGTCCCGCGCCATCACCACCAGATCATAGGCCGGCACGCTCTCGCGGTCCAGGGCTCCGTCCAGCACCAGCGAGTAGTAATTCTTGAAGGTGGACAACAGCTTGAAGGGGGTCTGGGGTGTCAAGGTGCAGGTTACCTGCCCATTGGCACCTGAGTCATTATCTGATACACTGATTAGAGCGATGATTGTGCCCTCCTGAGCATCTTCTCTGACTGGAAGAGACAACGAAGTAACAATCACTTTAGGTGAGTTATCATTTTTGTCTAGAATCTCCACTAGGACAGTGCAATGACCAACCATAGGTGGTGTTCCTTTATCTGTTACATCTATATGAATTTCATAACAATTGCTGTCTTCAAAGTCAATACCATCCTGTACTCTTATTTCTCCAGTTGTTTCATTCATTAGAAATTTCCTTCTTATATTGGGTGGGACCAAAGAGCTAAATGAATATATCATTTCCTTGTTTATTCCTTCATCTGCATCAGAAGCATTTAGCCTTATCACTAACGTCTGATTCGCTGGATTTTCATACATCTTAACTTCATAAACTTGGCGGTCGAATGTAGGAGCGTTATCATTGGCATCCAACACCACAATTAGCAGAGAAACTGACCCAGTAAGTTCAGGTTTGCCTCCATCTGTTGCAGTTAGTAACAGCTTCAACTGAGGGATTTCTTCGCGATCCAGCAGTTTCCTCAGAACGAGAGCTGGGTATTTTCCTTTGCCCTTTTTGTTTATAATATCAAGGACGAAAAACTCATTCGGACTGAGTTTGTAAGTAAGCATCGCGTTCTCGCCGGCATCAGCATCAGACGCGCCTTCTAGAGGAAACCGAGAGTCTAGCAGTTGAGACTCGTGTATTGAGAGCTTTTGTTCTGTTACTGAGAACACTGGCGCGTTGTCGTTAATGTCCTTCACCTCCACCTCCACGTGGAAGACCTGCAGCGGCTTGTCCACGATCACCTCCAGGTGGATACTGCACCCCGCGCTCCGCCCACACAGCTCCTCGCGATCGATGCGAGAATTCACAAACAGAATGCCGTTCTGCAGATTCACCTCCAGAAGGTCCCCGCGGCCTTTGGACGCCACCCGGAACAGGCGCGGCACCAGCTCCGCCAGCTCCAGCCCCAGGTCCTGCGCGATGCGGCCCACGAACGTGCCGTGTTTGGCCTCCTCGGGCACCGAGTAGTGGACCTGGCCGCTCCCCGCCTCCCAGGCTGCCAACAAGAGAAGCGACAACAGCAGGCGCGGGCCTCTCTGTCGGCTTGGCCTGGAATCCCACATCTTACCTTTATCCTGTTTTACAGTCGACGGCATCAGCTGTCTTGAAATGCATACTGCGCTCGAATTTTTCTATTCTTTTTCTTAAATTCAATCTCCTGGTAATGGCTGAGATCTCAGAATGTAGCTACTCTTCCTTGTTCCTGGGAAACAGGATGTTATGCTGTTTTAAGATCCATTTTGTGGAAGACAGCGACATCCGGTGGCTTCACGTGAAAGGACACGTTTGGTGAGTAATTCTTTAATTCCTTTTATATTTGTATGTTTTCATTTCCATGCAGTTTTAAAGGTTGACATTGTGTCTTCGTTGTATGCGGTAAGAATCAATATTGATCATGACTTCAACATTTCATTGAGGGAGGATCGCAGCGAAAGGTCACTTTCCCTAACTACATTATCGTTATATATCATTAGCTGAATTTCAAAATGCCTTTATTATCTGCGTAATGCTGAATGTACCAGAAGTTTTCTGAATGACAAGTTGAGATTTCTTGAAGTTTTAAAACTTAATGTCAGTTCTCTTTGTCGTTGTTCAGAGATACCCACAGTGTACACAGATAATAGTCAAGACACCAATTCTCTTTAAAGTGTTTGCAACTCCATTCCTGATCTCTGTAGAAGGTCATCAACATCAGATATTTCTCCATACCAATTACCAGCCATGTGATGGAGAAAAGTAATTTATCTTCTGTCTCAGTTTACTCTTCTATTGTATCGGTATAGTAATGACATATTAAGAGACTAGGATACTGCCTTGAGAAAAGGTGCTTCATAAATGCAAGTATTCTGTAACTTCATCTTGGCCACATTTATCTTTTAATGGCGTTCAAGATCCAAATTGATCCTGGAGGAAAATACATTACCCACAGAATGTTGTCATTCTCCAATGCTTTATTGTAGCTACTAAGGGTTAGTAGCTCTGATCTTTCACAGAGTAAGAAAATTCTTTTTGTTGGGAAATCAATTATACACATAGAAGTTTCATTTTAAAATATGCAAGTGGATGATAAAAGTTTTTATTGTGATAACAAATAACTTATAATTTTATATTATTTACTGCCAGCCACAGTTACTTTCCTTTTTTTGTAATTTTAGTTTTCAAATGCTCAAACGATATAGTGTGGGGATATACTAATAGTTTTATCGATAATGGCAATGTTTTTAATCACTGCTTGTGGTAAAAATAAAACTTAAAACTTAAAAAAAAGGTGATAAAAACTAAAAGGTGCAACAGGTTAAATATCCAGCAACTAAATTCTCCATTAATATCTATGTCACTGAAAAAAAATCAAGTTTTTCTTCTCAAAAGAGGTCATATGCTCAGCGAATACACAAGCCTTGAAAGAAGCAGGGGGGGATATAGTTTCAACTGTGTTGCAAACATGTGTACTATGAGGGCAAAGGAGAAAATTTTGAAGTCTTTCCTTTGCAGTGAATTTTACTTTCATAGTTGTACTGTGGTTCTATCCTCGAAGCCACTCTGCATTTCCTTCACTAAATCTCTCTTTTTTCCAAATACTGGTATATTTATCAAGTTTGTATACATTGTTTTCCACACTGAATCTTTCCCATTTCCTTCACACCCCTCTCCCTCCACCCATCAAATCGTGGACCCTATGATTAATGGTCCTCCCCTACCCTCACCCCCTGCTCCTCTCTAATTCTTTAAAAACTCCTATGTAAAATAACTAAGAGAAAAATAAAGCCTCCAGAAGGGAAAACTCACCAGAAGCTTTTAAAGATATAAATTACCAAGCAAAAGAATCAACCCTATGCAGTGTAGGATGTGGATCACCACCCACAACCAGAGTCAAGGACAGCAGTGACTACAAATGCACAGTAGAACTTATGGAGCTCTATTTTTATTGTTACTGTGAAGAGAGAAAAGCATCCTCACAGGGGATATCTAATCTATGAAGATGGGTTTTTGTTGGGGGGGGGGAGGTTGTTTCTGGTTGGTTTTTTTAATTCCAGACCATGAATTTCAAGAGAAATCATAGTGTGAAATGTACATACAACATTATGTGCTTGGGAATACTACTACTCAATTAAGAAATTTTCAGTTAAAAAGTATTCTTGAAGAAAGTCTCTCTTAGAAAGTATTTTTTTCAATGTCAAATGAAAATATTCAAGAAATAGTCTAAGTTTCCAAATTCTTCCAGTAGGCACATTCTTAAAATATATCTTATAAAATGTGTAGGAACATGTTTAAAACAAGTTCAAAAAACTATCCTCAGAATTCCCTTCCTAATGTAGACCATTGTTTTCTAACTCCTACAGCACTAACACACCAGGGATCCCTGAATAAAATAGTGTTGAAGGTACATTGGTGTGCGCCAATACAATTTGCTTTAACCTTGAGTATTTTTCAGGCGCAATGGAAGTTCTGAGGAGAAATTCAATACGACTAAATAAAATTGGCTTCACATACACTAAATATCTGCTCTAGGTATTATTTAAGCCAGTCTCAAAGGGAGTGTCGAAATACAAAAATATACTCTAAAGTTTAAGTACTGACTTTCTGGTCAGAGAGAAAGACAGGAGAGATCCAAATTAGTTTTCGAATGTGCAGTGATTATTTTCTTCAAAGCCAGCAATAAATAAGTAAATAAAATATTAGGACCAACCTTCCCTGGAGAATCCATAGATGTCTGTGGATCTCCCACTCCATCTGCAGATGCCGGACACGGAGGTAGGCTGGGACTGAAGGCCATGAGGTCAGTCTTGGGCGGCCCCTCCCCAGAGCACACCCTCTGCCTCCTCTGCTGGGAGCATGACCAGCTCCCCACCGCGCTCGAACACACCAGCCTCGGCTTCCCCGGACCACACGCGCCCTCTGCCGCCGGCGCCGAGCACCGCAGCGCCGTGTACAGCAGCAGCGTCAGCACCAGCAGGCTGGACACCGCGCAGATGGCCACGATCAGGTACACGTTCACGTCCACCAGCGCCGCCTCCGGGCCTGGGACGCCCGCAGACACCCGCGACGACGTCTTCAGCGCCTGGCCGCTCTCCACCAGCGACACCAGCACGGTGGCCGTGGCCGTCAGCGCGGGCTCCCCGTGGTCCTTGACCAGCACCAGCAGCCGCTGCCGCGGCGCGTCCGCCTCGTCCAGGGCGCGCGTCGTGCTCACCTCGCCCGTGTACAGACCCACGCGGAACAGGCCGGCCGCGCCGCCCGCCACCGCCTGCAGCTCGTATGACAGCCACGCGTTGTAGCCCGAGTCCGCGTCCACCGCGCGCACCTTCGCCACCACGTGGCCCGCGCCCACCGACCGCGCCACCACCTCGCTCCGCGCCACGCCCGCCACGCCCGCCGCGGACCACGAGCCCGAGCCCGAGCCCGAGGCGGAAGCGGGCGGCAGCAGCGTCGGCTCATTGTCGTTCTCATCCAGCACGAACACCTGCAGCGTCACGTTGCTGCCCAGAGGCGGGAAGCCCGCGTCGCGCGCGCTCACCTGGAACTGCAGCAGCTCCAGCTCCTCGTGGTCCAGCGGCTGCAGCGCGTACACCTTGCCGCTCTCCGCGTGCACAGACACGTAGCTCGACAGCGAGCGCTCACCAACCCGCCGCTCCACCAGCGAGTAGGACACCAGCGCATTCTCCTGCGCGTCCGCGTCCTGGGCCGACACCGTGAAGATGTGGCAGCCCGGCGGGTTGTTCTCCTTCACGAACACCGTGTACTCAGGCTGCGCGAACGCGGGCGCGTTGTCGTTCACGTCGGCCACCTCCACGGACACGCTGGCTGAGGCCGACAGGGCAGGGGCGCCCCCGTCCCGCGCCGTCACCACCAGATCATAGGCCGGCACGCTTTCGCGGTCCAGGGCTCCGTCCAGCACCAGCGAGTAGTAATTCTTGAAGGTGGACACAAGCTTGAAGGGGGTGTGGGGCGTCAAGGAGCAGGTCACCTGTCCATTTACCCCTGCATCTTTGTCAGTTACACTGATCAAGGCAATGACAGTACCTGTCTGTGCATCCTCTTTAACAGGAAGCCAGAGTGTTTTGACAACCAACTCTGGAACATTGTCATTAGCATCTATAACATCCACCAGAACTGTACAGTGACTGGCCAGGGGTGGAGAGCCTTTGTCGGTAGCCTCTATTTGGATTTTATATGATTTACTTTCTTCATAATCAATATGTCCTATGACTGTTATTTCCCCACTTGAGGGATCTATGTGAAATTTAGACTTAACTGATGCAGGAACATCATTAGTGAATGAATATACGATATTTCCATTCAAGCCTTCATCCAAGTCTGAAGCATTAAGCTTAATTACCAAAGTTCCACTGGGCACATTTTCTGGTAGTTTCACTTTATAGAGCGTTCTGTCAAAAGTCGGCGCATTGTCATTGGCGTCAAGCACTGTAATGAGTAACTGAATGGTTCCAGTCAGCTCAGGTTTGCCCCCGTCAGTGGCCATGAGAAATAAATGTAGCTCTGGAGATTCTTCTCTGTCTAAAAGCTTCTTTAATACAAGTCCAAGAGGCTTTGCATCTTCATCATTGGCTGGTACATCCAGGGAGAAATAATCATTAGGACTGAGTCTGTAAGTCAGCACAGCATTGGCTCCAATGTCTGCATCTGACGCGCCCTCTAGCGAAAAATGAGAGTCAAGCGGCCTGGATTCCGCAATGAACAGATTCTTTTGTGTGGCTGGGAACAGGGGTGCGTTGTCGTTAATGTCCTTCACCTCCACCTCCACGTGGAAGACCTGCAGCGGCTTGTCCACGATCACCTCCAGGTGGATACTGCACCCCGCGCTCCGCCCGCACAGCTCCTCGCGATCGATGCGAGAATTCACAAACAGAATGCCGTTCTGCACATTCACCTCCAGAAGGTCCCCGCGGCTTCTGGAATCCAGTTGGAACAGGCGCGGCACCAGCTCCGCCAGCTCCAGCCCCAGGTCCTGCGCGATGCGGCCCACGAACGTGCCGTGTTTGGCCTCCTCGGGCACCGAGTAGTGGACCTGGCCGCTCCCCGCCTCCCAGGCTGCCAAGAAGAG